CGAAAACAGCGTAACACGACGTTCGTCAATTTTCTTTAATTCAAACGACGTTTAGAGGGATCGTTAACTTACTTTCCGAGGCGCCTGTACATATATCGCTTGATTAACATATTTCAACTTTTTCAATCCTGCAAAAATCGTTTCATATATCCGGCATTATAATTACAGAAAAAGATACTAAGAATATATGAAAATGTAACGTTATCTATTCTACTTACTGTCAATTATACATTTCATTTTTTGCGACATTGCATTACGCTCTTACTTACTCGTATCTCAGGCTACTTAGTATTTAATTACTTCATTTCGATGCGCTTAATTAACGTTCTCTTCCGCTTTGCAATTCGTTGTTAACTTTCTGCGCTTAATCAAATCTGTTAGACAAAAAGAAACTGCAGTAGAGAAATACATAGTCACATAAATTTCAATGAAGAAATATTTTTCTTACGCTAAAAGTTACCTGTTGTTGCTTTTTTTTTTTATTATTATTATAAAACCTCACTGCATTATAAAGATACGGTACTTCGTATTTAAGCCTTTAATTAATTGTTGCATCACCGTGATCCATTTCATGCCTTTTATGGAGTATAAGCAAGATTAGGGTGTCACAATACCATAGCAATGAATGCTCTTCCTTGTATGATGCTCGGAACTTTCTTCCTTCACACGGTATCGTACACTACCATCCATAAGTTTATGGTTGCTATCGGTTTTACTTCGTCGTAAAGGTAACAAATTTTCTTCGATTCAATTTTGCGCCGATATCATTTTTTAAGAATATTCTGCAGATACTTTGCGGAAACTGCAATAAAAAACACGTTATTAATATTATGTATACGGTACTGTGGACAAAGCTATGGTAAAAAGAGTTTTAGAAGAAAGGAAACATTGTTTTTGTAAAATTAAACAACATTGACAATTTTTTTATTTCTATAAAATAATATAAAATAATACGTGACGCTAAACTTATGTACGATAGTGTATAACCATTACTTTCTTCAACGTGTGCAACTTCCGAACAACCGTTTGTTCTCGATTCACTAGTGAAATGAAACACTTCTCTCTAAACTGTGAACAAGTTTGCAACGAAATTTCTTAAAGATAGAAGAAATAGGTTGTTTCATTCTATTGACACGTTTCTCTTCGTTCTAAAAGTGTAAGAAAATTTTCAGCAAACACACTTCTTTATTTTCCAGGTTCTATATTTGTAAATATTTCATATTTACAAGGGAACATGCCGAAGTGATAATCACCGATTTTGGATGAAACTTTGGTACAGGTACAGTAGTTCTGGAAAAAATATTCGACACGTATCTTTTTATATTGGCAGTCGTCCACATGTAAATCACCTTCAAAGATAAAGGTGTTAAACATATTTGGTAAAAATTAATAATTTTTAATTTTTAGAATGATATCTTGCTCTGTATTGAACTAACAATAAGAGAAATAGTATTATCGTATCCTTTACATTTCATATTTTTGTTATAACTTTTTAATAAAGCATTTATGGACTTTTCGTTGCGTGACATTTTTGCCTTATTTTTACATCCTGTATAAATACTAACGGAATATATATTGTAAAATGTAAAAAGAATAAACGGAATAAATAAATACTTTGTACGTGACAGAATATTTGGGTTAATCGATGTGTTGAAAATAGATTACTCTTTGTACCGATTTTACGATGATAAAAGAAAAGAGTACA